CCTGTGGTCCCAGCTACTTGGGAGGCAGAGGCAGGAGACTCGCTTGAGCCCAGGAGTTGGAGGTTTCTGGGAGCTGTGATGCCACAGCACTCTACCCAGGGGAATAGCTTGAGGCTCTGTCTCAAAAAATATATAAATAAATAAATAAAAAATAAAAATAAAAATTAGCTAGATGTGTGCACCTACAATTCCAGCTATTCAGGGCACTGAGGCATGAGGATTGCTTGAGCCCAGAAGTTTGAAGTGGCAGTGAGCTATGTTCAAATCACTGCTGCCCAACCTGGGTGACAGAGAAAGACTCTGTCTCATGGGAGAAAAAAAAGACACAAACATAGCCAGCAGTGGAATCGGGGTTGTAGGTTTGGTTTTCTCTTTCTGATCCCGCCTTTCTAACTTCAGTTAGGAAAAAGAATGCCTACAATGTGGGTAGGTGTGGATAAGGGTGTTGCTCTAACAGTGGTAGCCTTGTGCTGGGCAGCTATCTCACTCTGCCTGTGCCCTTCCTTTGCTTAGGGGATCACTATATCTACCTTGAAACTGACAAGTTCTCCAAGGCAGGGCAGTCTGTCAGACTGGTGAGCCGGCCCTTCTGTGCCCCGGGTGACATCTGTGTGGATTATGCTTATCATATGTATGGCCTGGGAGATGGCACTACACTGAAGCTCCTACTGGAGAGTCCTGCAGGTAGCACCCCAGTTTCTCTCTGGAGCCGTGTTGGGTCCCAGAGCCCTGACTGGCAGAACACCTCCATCACCATCCCTTCAGGACATCCACAGCCCATGCAGGTGAGAAACAGAGCTGGTGGACCCTGTGCATGTCTATGTGGGATGTGGTGAGGGGACAGTGCCTGGGTCTTGGGATCCCAGCTAGAACTGAGAAGCAGAAAGCTGGAAAGGGAGCTGAGGAGAGGGGAACTCCACTACTCAGAAGGATAAGGGTGCAGGAGCAGGGTGGGACTGTTGCAGATGGAACAAGATGACATTATGGCAGAAGAGAGACTCATGCCCAACTGAGTTGCCAGGGATTCATTTTCACTTCTCTCTTCCTCCTCGCTTCCCCATTGCCCACAGCTGATTTTTAAGGCCATCAGGGGTACCAACACTGCCTTTGTTGTCGCATTGGGTTACATCTTGATCAATCATGGGTCTTGTCGAGGTAAGACAGAACCTAAGGGGGCCATACCCTGGGGGGAGCATCTCATGGACTTCTCTACATGAGCTGCATAACATGCGAGTCCTTTCTGGTGCCTGAGTTCATACCAGCTTCCTTAGCTTTCTGCATTCTCCCCATCCCTGCCTCTCCTGCACCCTTGGAGTACTCGGTTGAGTGAATGTGTGTTTGGTGCCATGAATTTCTGTGGCTGCTTCCAGAATCCCTTGCCTAGTGATCCTGAAGGCAGGACACATCTCCTGTTCATTATTGTGTTTGCTATACCTGGAGTGATATCTGACATAGATTAAAAGCAGTGTTTGTTGAGTGATTAAGTGAGTGCAGGTTGGAGGCTGAGCGCAGAAGAGGAGTGAATAAGTTACCGTTTTGAGCCCACCTGCTCCAGTTAGATGCAAGTGAAGATGGTGGTGGTATAATTTGGACTAAACTCCAGGGACTGTTTTCTTTCTCTTTTCAGCACAAGCACCAACAGTGCCTCCTGCCAAATCTCCAGTTTCCCCTACTGAACCATCTGAAACCACTGTCCCCACAGAAAAACCCACCATCCCCATCGAAGAGACTATTGTCCCCACAGAAAAACCCACCACCCCCATTGAAGAGACTATTGTCTCCACAGAAAAACCCACCACCCCCATTGAAGAGACTATTGTCTCCACAGAAAAA